GTAGGGAAAACCATTAGGATGTATTTTAATGGCAAAACTTGAGTTTCATTCATTGCTATAGACACCAGTGTCTCAAACAGTGCTTGGCATATGGAATACACTCGATAAATAGGCTAGTGGTTAAGAGCACAGACTGTCTGGATTCAAATATGGGCTCTACCATTTACTAGCCAGTGAACCTAGGCAAGTAATGTAAGTGTACCATGATAGTTTTCTCATCTGCAAAATGGGATATTAATAGTCCACCTTTCTTAAGCTTATACTGAGTACTAAGTTAATACCCATAAGGCATTTAGAAGAGTGCGTGGTCTTTGGGAGGAGCTATATAAATGTTCAACCATTTATTATTATTTTTTTGTGGTACGCAGGCCTCTCACTGTTGTGGCCTCTCCCATTGCGGAGCACAGGCTCCGGACGCGCAGGCTGAGTGGCCATGGCTCACGGGCCCAGCCGCTCCGTGGCATGTGGGATCTTCCCGGACCAGTGCACAAACCTGTGTCCCTGCATTGGCAGGTGGACTCTTAACCACTGCGCCACCAGGGAAGCCCCAAACCATTTATTATTGTGTTGAAATACTTTGCTATGAAAAAACACGGCCCCTACATAAAAAAGAACAATTCACAAAACAATACCTAACCATTTATGTACCTATTTATATCAAAATACGTAAAGAAAAAATTACAATTACCAAGAAGAATTTGTCAGTCCATAACAACGGTGGAAGACTTTAATTCACATCTATCACTAAATAAGTTTGAGAGAAAAATAAAAACCAACCTGAACGTACATACTATATCTGAACATCATAAAGTCCACTTACTTGATAAAAATGTCATTAAATTAGAAAAAGGTATGTAGCAAATACAGTCTAATTTCTACTAGGATAAACTAAATCACTCAGGAGATAATCAGAAATACCTTTATGAATATGCAATGTGTTAATATTTTTAGAGTAAATGATGATAAACATATTACATATAAAACTATGGAACATAATTTAAGGTTTATATTAGGGTATAGATATAGATATAAATGTTTATACTTAAGCAAAGACGGAAAATTAAAGAGCTAGTTGCCCCACCCTAAGGATGAGACACTGATAAAGGTAACCCCATGCTCATAATATTTACACTTTTCATTCCCAGTTTAAAGTATTCTGTGGCCACTCAGAGAAGAGCTGAGGCAATCTCACGTTGAGTATCTTCTAGGGTTCCCCACCTGCGTGACTTCTCAGAAGTCAACAGACAGGACTCACCAAAAGATTTCCCAAAATTCATCCACAGGTTTTGCATCCAGGAATTTCATAGCTTTTCTAACGTAAGAGGTATCATTAAAGGCATTCCCTCATTCTTTATACTCACAAATTTCTCTGCAACGACTTTTCAGTTTAAGGAATGTGGGAAAATGGAAGGCTTTCCAGTAGTGATGCCATTCAATGGGACATTCTCTCCAGAATAAATCATATCTCTTAAAAGTTGAGAGAACACTGAAGGCTTTCCCATAGTACTTGCACTCGGAATCTCTTCATCTTCTGTTCGGTAATGTAAACTCTCGTGCTATAGAGTTTTCCACATTCCTTAAATGAGTGAGTGTTCCTCTGTAGTGATTCCTCATGTGTGTTCTAAGGGATGAGTGTCCCTGAAGACTTCTACATTCTGATGATATTCATAGGACTTTCCCCTTAGTGTGAATTGTCACATGACTCCCTAGATATCACCACTGTATTCCTCAGATTTATCCACAATACTTAATCTTTTGTGTACATTAGGGTGAATTTGAGCTGAAAGCTTATCACAAAGACTGGACTCATGAGGTTTCTTTCACGGGTGAATTAACATGAGAGTTATTAAATATTACTTCATACTGAACAGACTGAAAGAATGAGGGTCTCCTGAGGCCTTACATCAGTGATTTCATGGAAAACTGCTCAGATGGTTCCCAACAATCTGTTTCCTGGTATTCATACTGAGTATGGTCTCTTCCCACACTGTATCAGGATTGGTCTGTGTGACCATTAAAATACGGAAGAAGTGATGATATGGCCTTCTGAGACTAGGTCATAGAAGACACTGTGGTTTTTGCATTAGCTCTTCTTTAAATCAAATGCTTTCAGAGGAACCTGCTTTTACGTCATAAAGACACATAGCCCTGTGGAGAGTCCTACATGGTGAGAAAATGAAGGTTCCCTGCCAACAACCAGCACTAACTTGCCAGGCATGTGACTGAGCTATTCTGGAAGTGGACTCTTCAGCCAGCAGTAAAGTAGATGACAGTAGCTCCTGCTGACATCTTGACTACAATCTCATGAGAGTTCCTGAGCTAGAACTACACAGCTAAGCTGGTTCTGAATTCCTGACCTATAGATAATAAATGTTTGCTGTTTAAAGCTACTATGTTTTGAAGGGAAATTTGTTATGCAGCAACAGATAACTCATACATCTAAGTGTGAGTTATCACAAGTTGTCTGAGAGATAAGAAATCAGTGAATGCTTTCCCAGTTATTGTAGTCATATCCACCTATTATGGATTCTCTTGTGCACAGAAAGGTAAGAGTTAGTGGTGAAAGACTTCCCACAATGATTACATTCATAGGGTTTTTCTCCAGTGTGAGTTCTTACATGTTTCTTAACAGCTGAGAGATTATTAAAGGCTTTCCCACAGTTACTGCATTCATAGGGTTTCTCACCGGTATGAATTCTCTTGTGCACAGTAAGAGAAAAGCTACTGCTAAAGGATTTTCCACACTGATTACACTCATAGGGTTTTTCTCCAGTATGAGTTCTCATATGCTGTGTGAGATATGAGCTCTTCCTAAAGGTTTTCCCACAATCACTGCACTCATAAGGTTTCTCTCCTGTATGAATACTGTTGTGCCCAGTAAGGGAGGACCTCGTGCTGAAGGCCTTGCCACACTGATTACATTCATGGTGATTCTCCCTCGTATGAATTCTCTTGTGGCTTTTGAGGTTACAACTAGTGCGGAAGACATGAAAACACTGGTTACATTCGTAGGGTTTTTCTCCAGTGTGGATTCTCACATGCAGTCTGAGGGAGGAAGGATCATTGAAGGCTTTCCCACAGTCATTGCATCCATAGGGCTTCTCCCCATTATGTATTCTCTTATGAATAGTGAGGTAGGATCTACTGCTGAAGGATTTGCCACACTGATTACAGTCATAGGGTTTTTCTCCAGTATGAATTCTTTTGTGCTGAGTAAGGTTAGATTTTGTGCTGAAGACTTTAAAACACTGATTACATTCATTGAGTTTCACTCCCAGATGACTTCTCTCCTGTTAAAAGATTAATGAAAAGTATAATTTATAATATTTTTTAATATTCAATGCTGTTATACAAATTCTCTCTCCCAGAAATTCTGTTACAGTATTATAATTGATGTTTTGGTTACCTATTTTAAATGCCTGTCAAACTGGGCTTCTGCCCAGCTTGAGCTCTTAGAAGTTAAAAAAAAGAGAGACAGACACATTGCCACAAGTCCTTATCATATTCACAGAGCATTTTCTGATAAATTTAAGACCACGTTATATTTCGACAGTCAATATTTTAATCACATTTAAGGAAATATTTACTTGTGGAAATTCTCAGTAAAGAAACAAGTCTGGAGTTAATTTATAGTTTTCTCCAAATTCACAACTGATTTACAGTATCTCTTCTGAGACACCATTATCTCATATGTAAATGACATTTCCCTTTAATGACTCTCCTGTTTATTCTGTGGCTTTTCTAACTTATGGAATTCTCCTACTGTGAAAAAACAGCAATCAACCATGTTAGTCTTACCACTTTTACACCATTAGAATGTTCTTTTCTAAAAACGTGCTTCTTAGGAGTTAACCATTTTGCTTTAAGTACCGTCTCCAAATCTGAAACAAATTGAAAAGAAATTTAAGCTGACGGAGAAAAGAAACACAAAAGTACACACGAGTACAGACAGACTGAGGGATTAGGGTTTTTGAGCAAGTTTGCAATGAAAGGGATATAAGTATTCAAATTACAGGTATTAAAAAAGGATTCTAAAAGGATTAGGACTGATCAGAGATTTACAAAGGGAGGAATTATCAGGAAGGTAAAGTAGGAAGGAGTTGGACAAAGAGCTCATATGAGACTTAAATTTAAAAAGGAAAAGAGACATCTTTATTTTTTCCCCCTCTGAGTCCAAAGTAAAGTATGAGATGTTGAACAGAAAGTTAAAGAGGAAAGAAAGAAGGTGCATGAGGAAGCTCATGACAAATGTTCATGGCCATCTCTGTCAGAAACAAAGGACATTTTACGAAGTTCCCTGATTGCCATTTCCAAATGTAATACTCCCATGCCCTGAATCATTGGCTAGAGCTATTCCTCAAAAAGACTATTTCTCATATCTTCCTAGTGCTCACCTGGACAGGTGCCTGGAAGAATTCCTGTTTCCTCTGCCATCACCTTGTCTTCTTGCTCCAACTGGGAGATCAGACTGGGTTTATCAACATGATACCCTATTTGCGGAAGAAAGCCATGTTATAGGGGGGCTGTGCAAGTGACAAGCAACTGCATGAAACTGAAGCCAAGAATTCTGAAGACGGGCAAGTGTGGCTTTGGGAGCAATGAAATAATTACATCTAAATTCTAATGAATATAGTAACTCTCAGGAAACAAAAATACAAGCAACTCATTCAATATCCAGGTGACAGGGCACACATAGGTCCAAAGTCCATGCCCAGGTTTTTTAAAAATTTTATTTATTTATTTATTTTGGAGCAGAGAGAGGTTTATTGCAAGGCCATGCAAGGAGATGAGGTGGCTCATGCCCTAAAAAGCCTCGAGCTCCCCAAAGGGTTTTGGCAAATCATTTTTAAAAGTCAGGTGGCGGGGGGCAGGGGAGTTGCAAGGTATATGATCAGATCGTGCACAATTCTGATTGGCTGATGATGAGGGAACAAGGTGGTGTCACAAGGGTTAACTTTATCAGTCCTCAGGCTCCAGGAGGCCTGGGACTATGTGCTCATGGTCATCAAGTAGTTAATATCTTCCATTTGGTGGTGGTGGTGTGTGTGGGGGAATCATGCCCAAGTTTAAATACACACTTCAAAAGCTATAAAGGTTTTACATATGGGGAATATAAAGTCAGGGTAAGGAAATATTCAGTTCATAGGGAAGGAATTAAACAGAAAGCTCTATGAGCATGGGGACCATGTCTGTCTCCATCACTGTACTCCTACACCCCAGTAACAGACCCAGAAACAGACACATGCTTGACGTCTGGTGAGAAATGATGACAATGAAAATCATGGAATATGGAACTTCAGAAGTCCCCCTCTCTATGAAAACAGTGAATAAACTGGCAAAAACTGTCAGAACAACTTTATCACAACTCTGAAAACTTATCAAAAGTCTACAGCAACCAGGAAAATGCTTAATCGAAGACAAAAAACAGCTGACATTTTAACTGACCCTTGCCTCATCCTCTACTCCTTGCTTTGGCTGTGACACTGAAGACAACTCCTAGTACTAGAGGGAGTAGGATGGACCTTATTCTCAACAAGCTGTGGTTGTTTGTTTTGACCTTTCTGGTGGCTCCCTGAAGGACTGGCTCAAAGGGCTTGCCTTTACTTATCTAACCCCAAACTCTCTGAAGGCTGAGCTGGTTACCCAGTGGACATGTGCTGAAGACATTAAAAGGCAATATATTAGCCACTACTGCCTGAGGCAAGTGGAAACAGCAAAGGAAAGCAAAAGGCAAACCAAGAAACCTGGAGGAAAAGTATAGAATAAAATGTTTTGCGGAATTTTTGAAAAGCTTTCTGAAAAGCTCCCTCATATTCCTTTGAATCTAGAAAGCCATGTGCATACCCAGGCTTGGGCACATGCTCAGAAAAGACATGAGAGGGCACTAAGTCCTCACCTTTGGCAGACCTTCAGGCTCTGCACAAACAGGAAGTGAAAACTAAGGCAGAGTTATAAACTGCTTGATTTTGAAGGTATGCCCCTGCATAGAGAGACTAGGAGTTTTTAAATTTTTGTTCCAAGTGTTCAAGGAAATCTGATAAATCACTAGCTAACCATTAAGCTAACAGAACAGAGTCTTCAGTGGCCACATCAACAAATACTGACATTACAAAAATGAGTTCAGAAATATCACTAAACATACATACCACACCAACTAAAACAAGCAACAACAACAAACTCTAGGGATGGGGAAAAATGTGATTCCAGAATAACTATGTTGTAATATTCCAAATGTCTAGTTTTCAACAACAAAAAATTATAAGGCAGGCCAATACACAAAAGTATGGCCCATTACAGGAAAAAACCCCCAAAATTTAGTAGAAACTATCCTTCAGGAAGTCCAAACATTGGACTTGCTAGACCAAGAATTTAAATCAACTGTTTTAAATATGCTTAAGGATCTAAAGGAAACCATAAGAACAAATCCTGACCAAACAGAAAACATCTTAAAGAGACAGAAATTATAAAAAGAACCCAAACAGAAATTATGGAATTGAAAAGTACAATAACTATAATGAAAAATTCAGAAGAGTGGTTCAACAACAGATTTGAGCAAGAAGAAAGAATCAGTAGCCATGAAGACAGGACAACTTATATTACTCAGTTTGAAAAACAGAAAGAAAAAAAAGAATAAACAAAATATGACCAGCACCTAAAAGACCCATGGGATACCATTAAACATACCAACACACACATAATAGGAGTCCCTTAAATGAAGAACGGGCAGAAAGAATATTTAAAGAAATAATGGCTAAAAACTTCCCCAAATTTGATGAAAGGCATAAATGTACACAACCAAGAAGCTTAACAAACCCAAAACAGGATAAATTCAAAGAGTCAGAATCCATCCTGAAACACATAATGAAACTCTGGAAAGACAAAGACAGAGTATCCTGAAAGCAGCAAGAGAGAGGAGATTCATCATGTGCACAGGATCATCAGTGAGAGTAACAGATAATTTTGAATCAGAAACCACAGAGGCAACAGGCATTGGGATAATATACTCAAGCTGCTTAAAAAAAAAAAAAAAAAAAAAGTGAACCAAAAATTCTGTCCTTCAAAAATAAAGAAATGAAGACATTCCTATAAACAAAATCTGAGTGTTTGTCACTAACATTTCTATCCTACAAGAAATGCTAATAGGAGACTTCCAAGCTGAAATGAATGGGCAATGAATACTGACTCAAATCCACACAAAGATATAAAGAACACCAATAAAGGAAAATAAATAGGTAAATATAAAAGTCAAAAACAATTGTTTGTTTTGGGTTTGTAACTCATGTATGTTTGGCTATGACTCCTCTTTTTTTCTAATATGATTTAAAAGAGAAATGTCTGAACTAAAAATTATAAATCCATGTTAATGAAACAATGTATAAAGTTATAATTTGTAAAAAACAAACAAACAAAAAACAGCATAAGGAGGGGCACAGCTATACAGGAGCTAATTTTTTGTATACTGTTGAAATAAGTTGATATGAAATCAAAATAGATTGCTTAAAATTAAAATGATAATTGCAATCCCTCAGGCAACCACTAAGAAAATAACTAAAAAATATAAACAGAAATGAGAAGGGAATCAAAATGGTCCACTACAAAATACCTAACACAAAAGTAAACAATAATGGAGGAACTGAGGAATAAAAATAATATAAAGCATGTAGAAAACAAACAGCAAAATGACACAACTAAGTCCTTCTTTATAAGTAATTCAATTAATGTAAACAGACTAATCTGTCCAATTAAAAGGCAGATTTTGGCAGAATGGATAGAAAATAATCAATTATACACTATCTATAAGAGACTCACTTTCTATCTAAAGACACTAACAGGTTGAAAGTCAACAAGTGGAAAAAGATATTCCATATAAACCACAGCTAAAAAAGAGAGAATGTGACTATACGAATATCAGGCAAAATAGACTTTAAGACAAAAATTCTTACAAGACACAACAAAATATATTATATGATGATTAAAAAATCAATTAATCAAAAAGATATAATAATTACATATACGTACCTAACAACAAAGGTTTAAAATATACAAATTCAAAACTGACAGAACTGAAGGGAGAAATAGAGTTCTACGATAATAGTTGCAGACTTCAATGCCCACTTTTAATAATGGGTAGAACAACTAGTTAAAAGACCAACAAGGAAACAGAGGACTTAAACAATCCTATAAACTTACTAGACCTAACAGACATAAAACACTTCACCCAACAACAGAACACACATTCATCTCAAGTGCCTGGAAAACATGCTCCAGAATAGAGCACATGTTAGTCCACAAAACAAGTCTAAATAAATTTAAAAACAATAAAATCATACAAAGTATCTACTCTGACCACAACAGAAGCAAATTAAAAATAAGCAACAGAGGATATGTATTGAAAAATTTAATATTGTTAAGATGACAATAATAACCAAAATCATCTACAGATTCAATGAAATCGCTATCAAATTTCTAACAGCTTTTTTTACATAAATGGAAAGGCGATCCTAAAATTCATACGGAATTGCAAGGCATCCTGAATAAACAAAGCAGTCCTGAGAAAGAACCAAATAGGAGGAATCACACTTACTGACATCAAAGCAATGGTAATGTGGTACTGGCACAATGCTAAACACAGATTAATGGAAAATAGTTGAGAGTACATAAACTCGCATTTTATGGTCAAATAATTTTTGACAATTGTGCCAAAACAATTCAATGGGGGAAAGAATAGTCTTTGCTACAAAGATGCTGGGACAACTGGATTAATAAATGCAAAAGAATGAAGCTGACAATTTCTCCTAAGCCATATAAAAATTGACTCAAAATAGATAAAAGATTTCATTGAAAAGGTAAAACTATAAAATTTTTGGAGGAAAACATAGAGCTAAATTTTCAGGACCTTGGTGGCAATAACTAGGTATGATACCAAATGCACAAGAAATAAAAGGAAAAAGTACATAAATTGGACTTCATCAAAATTAAAACTTGTGTATCAAAGGATACTATCAAGAAAATGAAAAGATACCAGACAATGGAAGAAATCATTTGCAAATAGGATCTAGTATTCAGAATATAATAAACCTCTAAAACCCAAAAACAAAAGAGATAACCCAATTAAAAAATTGGCAAAGAACTTGAATAGACATTTCTCCAAAAACGATATACAGCCAACAATTACATGAAAAAAATGTTCTGTGTCATTAGTAATTAGGGAAATGCAAATCAAAACAACAGTGAGATACCACTTCATACCCAGGAGGATGGTTATATTCAAAAAAGCGAATGTTGAGGAACATATGGAGAAACTGGAACGCTCATATATTGGTGCAACTGCTGTAAAAAACAGGTTGGCAGTTCCTCAAAAAGCTAAACATAGTAATCTATAACCCAGAATTCCACTCCTAGATACGTAGTCGAGAGAACTGAAAATAGGTGTTTGAACAAAGACTTGTACACAAATATTCAAAGCAGCATTATTTACAATAGGCAGTAAGTGGAAACCACCCAAATGTTTATCAACCAAATGAACGGATAAACAAAATGTGGTATACCCATAAAAGAGCATGTTACTCAGTCATAAAAAGGAATAAAGAAACTATACATGCTACAACATAGCTAAACCTTTAAACATTAAGTTGCTTGAAAGAAATGAGACATAAGGGTCACACATTTTATGATTCCATTGATATGAACTGCTCTGAATAGGCAAATCCATAGAGATAGAAAGCAAATTAGTGGTTACCAGTACTGGGGAGTGGGGAAGGTAACAGGTACTGGCCACTTAATGGGTACAGGTTTTAGGAGTGATGCACAACACTGTGAATTTATCAAAAGCCACTGTACAACTGATTCACTTTGTTATAAAGCAGAAACTAACACACCATTGTAAAGCAATTATATATACTCCAATAAAGATTAAAAAAAAGAAAGCCACTGAACTGCGTACTTTAAAATGATTAAAATGGCGAATTTTATGTTATGTGAATGATACCTCAATTTTAAAAAAGTCTTGTTACCTGAGTCATTAAATAAATGCAGGAATGATGTCAGGCTTACCAAGTGAAGCCAGGTTCCTGCAGTTCTCCAGCATCACATCTCTGTACAGTGTTCGCTGAGAAGGGTCCAGCAGTGCCCACTCTTCCTGGGTGAACTCCACAGTCACATCCTCAAAACTCACCAAGTCCTAAACCACCACAAACATCATGGCTTAGCCAAGGACCAACCCCACCAATGTGGACAGGAAAAGAGCCAAGGATGAGAGAGGAGTAGGGACAGGGAATCCAAAGCAGAAGCTGTATGGGCAGGGTTCTGATCTCTGCTCTCAACTGCTCCTAGGGTCAGCCCTGAACTCTCTTCTCCTGTCTATACATGCCCACCCCCAATGTTAAATGTGCCTCTAACACACAGGTGATTTTCTTTCCCAGTGAGACTGTGACATCCTGCAATCGAATTCCCCTCAATCTCAAAGGATGAGCATAGGCCTAGGACATTGCAGAAATCAGAGAAGTACTTGGTAAATGGATGAATGATGCCCTAACGGCCATCACCAATTGCATGAGTTTAGGACACAGTCATGTCTTTCCTTAGCTTCCCCTTGAAACTCTCAGAAAGGGGGAGGAGAGTAAGGAGGGAAGGATTGGGAGTTCGGGATTAGCAGAGGTAAACTATTATACACAGGATGGATAAACAGCAAGGTCCTACTGTATAGCACAGGGAACTATATTCAATATCCTGTGATAAACCATAATGGAAAAGAATATGAAAAAGAATACACACACACACACACACACACACACACATTCTGTCACTCTGCTACACAGAAGAAATTAACAGGGCATTGAAAATCAACTATACTTCAATAAAATTAAAACAACAACAACAACAACAAAAACCTCTCAGCAGAACATGGTATAGACAGTGACCCTGGAGGAGGCTCTACATTGCAGTAAATGCTGACATATGCTAACACTGTTTGGGTTGCCCCAAACCCTCCATCAGATGCCCAAAGACCTGATTTGGCTCTGATGCTGCAGGTCACTGAAGGATAACAAGTCCAACTTCTGGTCAAAGGAATAATGATTTGGAAACAGGAATATCTGACTCACCTGTAACCATTCTGTCAGGAAGCCATTAGCCAACCCTTCCTCCTCTGTGCATCCTTTCTGGTGAGAGGCTGGGTACGGGGAAGACTGAGCTGGAGAAGAAGAAATGTCCCAAGAATCCAGGATTGCCCCCTGTTCTCACACTCACAAATCAGGAGGCTCCCCCACCTACTTGTGATTGACTGTATCCCCAACAGACACAAATGACTATTCCCACACACAGCACATACCGACACCCAAACACCCACACCCAGCTTCCACAGGAAAACGGAACAGAGCACTGTCTCACCCAGGGCCAGAAAATAGGGCCAAGCGCCCTCCCACGCTGGAGGAAAAGACTTCTATTTCCATTTTGCAGATGAGGAAACTGAAGTCCCAAAGGACACCACTGTTATTTTTTTTTAAGTTTATAGAAAGAATTAGAAGTATAAGTCAAAAGCTCCCACACATTCACCACACAAGTGACATCTCCAGAGACACTCAAACCAGCTAAGTCCCAAATCCCAAGAACCACAGAGTCAGGCACCAATGACCTCCAGGTTCCTGGGGTAACACACCCACCTCAACTTCTCAGTCCCTTCCCTCTACCTGCTCTGTGGTGCAGGGGCCTTTAACACCTGGGCTCTGAGGGCTGACTCCCAAACTCACCACAAGTGGGGGACAGTACCATGGTCGCCATCCTGTGATTCAGACAGTAAGTTTTCCTGAATAACAGGGAGCAGAAGAACGAGGATGCTCCTCCTCTTATCCCCACAGTGCACTCAGGACAGGGCTCTGGAATAAACGGAAAGCACAAAGTGTTCACAACCAACTTCCCTCTCCAGGGTACTGAGGACAAATCTTTAGCCTGTCCACCATTTCCTCCTTCAAAATGCGTCTGCCTCTGCCCACAATGGTGGCTACTTCTCCATCCATCTTAAAACCTCAGCTTCACTGAGTCTCAGGGCACATTCTTCCCATCCATGTGTTTGTGGTTGTCACAAACACATTCCCAGCTACAATCCCTCATTCACTGGAGACTCTGGCCCCTGACTCCCAATATCCTTTCAACCTCCCATCCTACCGCACTCGAATGACATCAGAGCCCAGGAGGGTGGCCCTCATAGTACTGAGTCTGTCCTCATTCCACCTTGGCCACGCACTTCCCCAGGCACCACCCTAGACCTTGTTATCACCGGACATGATTCTACACCTACAACAATAGTTCAGAAATTTCTCTCTCTGAAGCCAATCTCCCAAACTTCAACCTTGCTCATTCATGTTCTTCTTTCACTACATGTGTTCTCCCACGCAAAGGGCTCAGTCCACACACTCTCCCACCCTCCTGCTAGAGCCACCTCCTCTCCTCATTTTTTACTTTCCCAGCTTGGGTCTCACTGTCCTTCATTTCAACAAATTTCCTCACCCCTACCTCCTACGTTCACTCTGGCCCAGCAGAACTCCAACCAGGCATGGTTCCAATCATCTGCCTGCTCATGGCAACATCTGGGCAGACCAACCTGCACAAGAGTGGTCATGTTGCCACCTCTAGAAAAACACGGTCAGCAACATGAAAAGAGCCCTCAACACCGCAGGGCAATTCTATAAGTCAATGTAACTTCCTACTCGTGAACCCTTCTCTTGTCTCTTTAAATCTCACACAGCCTCACCTTTTCCCTCTATGGTTATCAGCTTCCCGAATAGCTTGAATGATCCAAGCTTCCTGGTATTCACAGCCACACTGAATCAGGGCTGACCTGTGTGACCAACAGAAAATTGTGGAGATGACTTCTGAGGGTAGATCCCTACAAGGCACTGCAGCTTCTGTTTAGTCTTCTGAACTGCTTGCTCTAAGGAAAGGCAACTGCCATATTTCAAAGACACTCAAGCAGCCCTGTGGAGAGACCTACTTGGAAAGGAACTGTCCCCTCCAACAGTCAGCACTGATGTGCCAGAACGTGAGGGAACCTCCTTGGAAGTGAACCCTTCGGCACCAGTCAAGCCTTCAGATGACTGCAGTCCCAGCTGATAACCTCCTGCAGCCTCATGAAAGTCCCAAGCCAGAACCTTCCAGCTAAGCTGCTCCTGAATTCCGGAAGAACAAAAACTGTGAGAGATGGCAAATTATTATTGTTTTAGTCACTAAGGTTAGGGATGCTCTGTCATGCAGCAATACATAACAAATACACCCTCACTTTCAGCAGATGGTCCTGCACCTTACTTCTCAAAGTCATCTCCACGAGAAGGAATCTACCTTCATATCTTGCCACCAAAACTATATTCTGCACCATGGTTTCCTCCCTCTCTCGTTATAAACCAGGACCTGCCTTCTCTATAACATTGGGCTCTGCAGTTCTGTTCTGTGTTCCACTCCATCTGCCTTTTTAGGAGCTGGACACCATCGATTCTCTCTCCTTTACCCTTCCCTTCAAGCTCTCCCACTCTACTGGACTCCCTCACACCATTTAAACTCAATGAAGGGTTTTTGGTAGTGAGACATATTTATCCTAAGGGCATAGTTTTCTTTCTAGCTACCACCCAGTCTGTCTCCCTCATCATTTTTTTTTTAACTCTCTGTCTCATTTCCTCATGTCCCACCCACTCTGAGACACAGTTTAATTTGGTTTCCACCACTACCAATTCAATCAGTAGAATCATCATTGATCTTATTCACAGGACGAAGATGTAGATTGCAACTACACTGATACCATTTCTTATCTGTCAGATCAACAAAGACACAGGGGACCACATCTTTCATTGGCAAGGCTGTAGAAAAAAGCACTCTCATACACTGTTGGGGTAGAACTCCTATGGAAGGAAATTTGTTATCCTCAAGCAAAATGCAAAAACATTTATCATTTCCCTGTCAATCACATTACAAGGAATCTATTTGAAAGATACACAAATACTAAAAGACAAGAGCGAGGTTATTCACTGTAGCATTATTTATAATATCAAAGGATTGGAAACAACACAAATTGCTATATATAGGAAATTGGTTCAGTTAACTACGGAATATCCTCATAATGAAGAAGCATGAAGCCAAAAAAAGAAAGATACGATCTCTAGGTATTGATGGAGAGTTTTATCTCCAATAAATTTAAATGAAAAACAAAAACAACAACAACAAAATCAAGGTACAAAGCAATAGAAATGGAATGTTTCCTTTCTATAAGGGAAGGCCTCCTCTCCCTGGAGTTACAGAATACAACGTAACTCCATAAAACCAGCTTCTCAAGGTCTCTATCTGTGTCCTTCCTGCATCCAAAAGATAAAAGCAATAAAGTGAGTGTGTGCAGGGAGGCGAACACTGGACACTACGGTTGAGTGTCCAGGTGAAAAATTGTTGCAGAGAGTCTTTGACTCCTGGGCCTGTGGGGTAGACAGATTAATGCCTCTGCCCCAAAGATGTCCATGCTCTACTCCTCAGAATCTGTGAATATGTGACCTTACATGGCAAAAGGGATTTTGCAGATGTTAGTAAGGTTAGGATCTGGAGATGGAAAAAATTATTCTGGAATACACATATTGACCCAATGAAATCACAAGGGTTCTTCTTTATAAGAGGCAGGCAGGAAGGTCAGGGTCAGAGGAGACGTGAGGATGGAAGCAGAGGTCAGAGAAAAAGAGAGAGAGAGATTTAAAGATGTTCTCACTGGCTTTAAAGATGGAGGAAGGAGCCACAAGCCAAGGAATACAGGTGGTCTCTACATGATGGAAAAGGAATGCAGCCCTGCCAACCCATTTAGGATTTCTGACCTCCAGAGCAAGAAAATAAATGTGTATTACTGTAAGCCACTAAGTTTATGGTAGTTTGTTACAGCAGCCGTAGGAAACTTGAACAGCCTCTCATACCAAATCTTCCCTGAGGTCTTGGCGTGAGTCCAGCAGACCCAGATAATTGCTGAAGATCTTCTCCACTCTCTGCAGGTGGAAGAAGTCTACATTCTTCCCACCAGGAACCCAATTTGCCTTTAGGAATAGTTACAGTCATGAGCTGAGGAGTGACAGGAGGGGTGGGATCCAGACACCCCCAAAGCCCCAAGAGGAAAGCAGGCTGGGAAGGTGTCCAGGACACTCTCAGGCCCTGAGTACCCTCTCCAGGTCTTTTGGCAGCTGAAGTCTCCTATTAGGGGAGGAGGGGTCTCTGTTCAGTTTACAGATTCAGTGACTCCTGCACCTGGAGTCAGTGTTGAGAGAGGGTCAGAGGATGGGCCACTCTATACCAGTGTTGCTCAACAGAACTTTCAGGTATGATGGAAATTTTCTATACTTCTGCCCTGTCCAACATGGCAGTTCATATTTTCTATTTCTCTGATGAAACAGAAAATCTAAACAGACTGATCACTAGCAAGGAGACTGAATCAGTATTCAAAAACCTCCCAACAAACGAAAGTCCAGGACCAAGCAGCTTCACAGATAAATTTTACCAAACATTCCAAGAAGGACTAATACCAATCCTTCTCAAACTCTTGCCAAAAGCAGAAGAGGGGGTAGTTCTTCCAAACACAGTTTACAAGGAAAGTATTACCCTGATACTGAAAACCAGACAAGGATGCCACAAAAAAAGAAAATTACAGGTCAACATCCCTGATGAATACAGATGCAAAAACCCTCAACAAAATATTAACAAACCAAATTCAACAATAAATTAAATCATACACCATGGTGTAATCATACACCATGACCAAGTGGGATTTATTCCAGGGATACAAGGATGGTTCAAATCAATCAATGTGATATACCACATAAACAAAATAAAGAAAAAATATGATCATCTCAATAGATGCAGAAAAAGTATTTGACAATTCAACATCCATTTATGATAAAAACTCTCCACAAAGCAGGTATAGAGGAAACACACCTGAACATAATAAAGGCCATATATGATAAGCCCACAGCTAACAATGTACTCAATTCTGAAAAGCTAAAAGCTTTTCCTCTAAGATCAGGAACAAGACAAGGATGCCCACACTCTTGCCACTTTTATTCAACATAGTGTTGGAAGTCTTCACCAGAGCAATTAGGCAAGAAAAAGAAATGAAAGGCGTCTAAATTGGAAAGAAAAAAGTAAAACTTTTTCACTATTTGCAGATGGCATGATTTTACATATGGAAAACCCTAAAGGTTTCATTAAAAAACTGTTAGAACTAATAAACGAATCCAGTAAAGTTGAAGGGTACAAAATCAATACACAAAAATCTGTTTCTTTGCACTAATAATGATCTATCAGAAAAATATATTAAGAAAACAATCCATTCACAATTGCATCAAAAAGAATAAAATACCTAGGAATTTAACCAAGGGTGTGAAAGACCTATATATTGAAAACTACAAGACATGAATGAAAGAAACTGAAGAAAATACAAATAAATGGAAAGATATTCTGTGCTCATGGACTGAGAATGAATGTTAAAATGTCCATTCTACCGAAAGCAGTATGTAATCCCTATCAAAATTCCAATGGTATTTCTCACAGAAATAGAACAATCCTAAATTTTGTATGGAACCACAAAAACAATCCTGAGGAAGAAAAAAGCTAGAGGCATCACACGCCCTGATTTATACTATATAACAAAGCTATAGTAATTAAAACAGTATGGTATTTAGCACATAGCTCAATGGAACAGAATAGAGAACCCAGAAATAAACCCACTCATATATGGCCAATTCATTTATGACAAAAGAGCCAAGAATATA